CGGAGACCGCACTTGAAATAGAGCACATTTGTTTCCACTGTCGAAAAGACGCTGCTCAGCAACTTGGTTGCTGGTAATCACCTCGAAAAGAGGGCACGAAATCGACACTTCCAGACAACTGCAGTTTTCCATTCTAAGTCCAAAAAACCTCAGTGGATCAAATTCATTCTGAGCACATTGCAAGGTAAATCCTAATTATATCTGAAGGCACCAAATGAATGTTCGAACACTAAGTCCTTTCACTGTCCTTTCTCCTTCACCCGCTCTCTTGCCTCCCCCATGCAGTTACGTTGGCATGACCACATCTTCTGAATACAGTGGGTTCTTTTGCTGCTAGACTGGTAAATATGATTGCTATTGCGATCAATAAACAGGCTCGCTTTCAAACTGGGCTGGAATCACAAGGGACATGGATTTACGTTGACAGGTGCACAGGATTCGGCAAAGAATCAATTGACCTGATGGAAAATACTGGGAAAGGTCTCCCAGCTTTCCTGGTTACCGAATTAGCCACTTTCCCGCCAAAAATTCTCATGGAGTCGTACGTGACAGCCACGCATGCCTGGAAACCGAGTTTGATAAATTTCAGTTGCACATGAACTGGAAACATTCCCTTAAAATTTCAGCTTTCTAGCTTCCCCGAATTCCAAGTTAGCGATTTTCCCGCCAGGAACCTTCACGGTGTCGTACATGAGAACCACGCATGCCTGGAGGCTGAATTTGGAATCTCTGAGTTCTATTTGGACGGGAAACAATTGCAAAGTGTCAGCTTTCTGGTCCCGAGTTAGCGATTTTTCCACCAAAACTTTGAGGCGCTTGTACGCGGGACCTAGACGTGCGTGAGCGGTGCTGGGTGGCACTTGGTTGGAAAACCCACTGGCGAAATTTTGGCGCCAGAGCTTGCTTGCGTGCCCGGTTGAAATATCCGGACAGACGCACCACACACATATACACACACACCGAGGTCGTCACTATATGCGTTTTTGCATTTGCATATAAGCAAAAACGCATAGCAAAGGATTACGCGCATATGTATAAAAGAGGATATGAGATCAAACCGAGATCTGAGGCCACGGACGGTTTAAGATACAAAAAGAGCTTAATTTGTTACGAAATTAAAGAGATTAATTTGTGCTGTGTAACAGCAGTACAAAACGCATACTGTCACGGGGTTGTCTGTGTGTGTGTGTTCGCAA